CAACTCTGCACAGCGAATCGCGGCGCCTTAGACGACTGGGCCACCCGTGCCCCCCCATGAGCAGAGGTAGGTACAGACAAATAAAGAAACTCTATCAGGGAAAATCTGGGGTTCAGCGTTATCAAACACACATTGACAGGGATCACTTGTCAGGGATAGATTTAGCTGTATAAAACATGCACAAGTGCAAACTATAATTGAAAAATGCAACCTATTATTTATGCACCAAGTGCATGTTCAAACCATTAGAGGTGTAACGATACGGGAGGGTCGCAATACGATACGCATCGCGATACAGGGGTAGCGATACGATACGTATCGTGATACAGTGTTTACTGGTACAAGCTAAGCCAAGTTGATGTCTTTCTGCTATCTAAAAGATGTGACAAGTACAGTTGAAGAAGATATAAGGTGTTTATTTACTGTTATAGCAAATTGTCAGCAATACAGTATGTTTTACTGAAACAACAAACTGGCTTTGAAACTGTTTAACGTATTTCATGGGCTCCCCCCCCCCTTTTTATTTCGAAAAAAATCTTTATTTCTGTATAACATGGTATAAATTATCACCAAAGGCAATAAACATGATAAATAGATCTTAATTGTGCACACACACACACACACACAAACACCCCTTTTCAAAAAAGCTGTATCAGCCCATGTATTTCATGTATTTTCTTGAGTATAGTGCGCACCAATGTATAATGCGCACGCCCCTCTAGCGGGTTCAATATTTTGGAAAAAACAGAATTTTGAATATTATGTGCAGAAAAAAATTACACCGTACCCCTTCAGCGAAGTCCTGCAAATGAACGGGTGATGAGAAACTTCGTCAGTACAAATTCTAAATTTGAGATAAAAAATCACCAGACATGTTGATTTACCGTTAATATTGTATTTTTTGTTCAGCTAGGCATAGTTTTATATCCAGGGATTAAGATTACCTTGTGTATTTTCTCGTAAACTAAGCCGGACACAGCAATCAGCTGTACATGTACACACGTTTTCTTGGAATCTACCGGTGATTCGGTCAAGACACACCCAATGATATAACTTTACAGGATTCTAAGGCAAGGATCGGCAAAAGTTGGATCTGAAACTACTTTTTTATCAGGAATAATATATTCCAATATATTGTTAATTTAGATGCAGCTTTTACTAAACATATTTAAAATAAAAATAACCCTAAGCGAAGCAGCTGATCGCTATTGCCGGGTATTATTTTTTACATGGAACCAGTCTGACCAGTCACCGTCAAGGTTCCCGTGCACGTGATCGCATGATCGCGAGAGTTACGTGTTGACATAGAATCGTCCAACAAAAACAAATCTGACTTTTAACGAATCAAAGTATGGCATTTATGATATATGTATCCATTCTCTGTCAACTAAAATTCCTTTCAAGGCGTCAATAGCGGTAATCTGACCGTGGTTGCTGTTAATAACGGTGAGTTGTGCGATCTTCCGATCGCTTTACACACGATTTCGCCGAAATTAATTAAAACAATATTAAAAGGAATTTTAAATAAAAGTAATGAAATAAGTTACAAACATGAGTCCAGATATACAAAGAACACTTTTTTTATAGCCAGACAGTGTAATTACATGAATAATTTGCGAACTTCAGTATGGATTTGTTGACATGGTATTTCTGGTGTTACGTGCTCACGGTAATGTCTTTCCATGGGGGAAAAACATAAAAACTCATAAATTCGTGTATAGTGCGCAACCCCTTCTACACAGCTGTGTTTTTTGGAAAAAAAAGTGCGCACTATACTCAAGAAAATACGGTAGGAAAAACTATGTTATGAAAATATCGTATGTATCGCAATACATGATTCCAAATCGAAGCATCGTATCGTGGGCTGTGCATCGGGATACAATACTGTATCACCGTATCGTTACACCACTACAAACCATTCAAATTTGTGTGTGACTACCTAGTCTCAGAACACACTAAATATCTCTAAGCTTTATTTACCATACTATATCTGCCCCTGTGTTATGTGTAATTCATGACACAGTCTTTGGAGATCTAAAATTCTACTTATTTTTAGTGTTTATACATCTGTGTTTCAGCTTTGATAAATCTATGGGACAGGGTGCAACCTGCTTTCCATGTCAACATGCACCTGGTGTTCCTTGAATTGAGCCTGCAGGCTTCTCACCAGCCTAAGATGTGCAACTCTGCACGCCACATTGTGGCACCTTACAATGGGCCATCCTGCCCCACCAACGTATCAACATGTTTTCATTATGTTTTAGGATTTGGTTTGGTTTGTTGTTTTACGCCACACTCAGCAATATTCCAGCTATATGACGGCGGTCTGTAAATAATCGAGTCTGGACCAGACAATCCAGTGATTTACATCATGAACACTGATCCACGCAATTGGGATCGATGACATGCATCAACCAAGTCAGCGAGCCTAACCACCCGATCCCGTTAGTCGCCTTTTACGTTTTTGTTTGTTTGTTTGTTGTTTAACGTCGCACTCAGCAATATTCCAGCTATATGACGGCGGTCTGTAAAATAATCGAGTCTGGACCAGACAATCCAGTGATTGACATCATGAGCATCAATCCACGCAATTAGGATCGATGACATGTATCAACCAAGTCAGCAATCCTGACCACCCGATCCCGTTAGTCGCCTTTTACGACAAGCATTGGTTGCTGAAGACCTATTCTACCCCGGATCTTCACGGGTCTTATGTTTTAGGAAGCACTGGTACAGGGACTGGTTAAGTAGACTGAAGATACCCTTGAACATGTTGAAAACACTACCGTATATCGCTGTGTATAAGGCGACCCCACGTATAAGACGACCCCCCTGTACACGCCTTAAAAATTAACCCAAAATCCTATACTCCGTGTATAAGGCGACCGGGAATGAAACACATCACAAGTCTGACTGATATAGAAGATTTAACGTGCGCTTTCCGACTGTAGCGTATTTCGCACACGGACATCACAAGTTAGTTAGTTAGTTAGTTACTTTGGAGATTTAACGTGCGCTTTCCGACTGATGCGTATTTCGCACACATCACAAGTGTGCACACATCACAAGTGTGCACACATCACAAGTGCGCACACAAACCTTATATATGCAATAAAACAATGTTTATCTTGCGTTGTTTTTTCTACAATGATAGGTCGCGTGCGAACTCCAGCACACGTCGCCATTTTGTGTTTACACGGTACGACACCAATTTGGTGCCCGTAAAATAAAATTCATTTATGAAGTAATAACATATAAGAGACAATGGTGAGTAATTTAATCGCCAATTAACTATGTTGTAACTAACTAGGCTTATGTTTGCTTTACATTCAGCGTGTATATTCCACAATCACTTGTACACACCGTCTCCAACACTTGTTAATTAATACAACTGTAAAAACAGCGGGAATTGATTTCAGCTTCACTGGTTATCACATGTTAGGTCACATGTGCAATATGCAAATGCTTACCGGTACTTCCGGCTCTCTGCTCACGGATGTTGATTGTTTTACCGTGTCAGGTGGTTTGACAATCTGCATCGAGGCGAGGGTCATTTCAACTTTATTTGCAGAAATTATTAAACTTTTTTCAAGGAAAAGAGATAAAAATCATGTTTATGTATGGAAATAGTTATTGGAACAGTTATTTAGGACGAAATGCGAAGTTTTATTGTCAAATGCTGGGCTGGCTATCGGACGCCGGTTGACATCGCCAGTGGAAAAAAAAAGTGAGATCTTTGACTCTGTGTATAAGACGACCCCCCTTCTTAGCCCCCTCATTTTAGGTACGAAAAACTCGCCTTATACACAGCGATATACGGTAATAGGCATGATAGGTACACTGATCTCACTTGCATTCACAAAGTTAATATTTCAATAGTTTCTTTCTACAGATTGCCCTCTTTATCATGTTTATCATTGCTTATCAATTAACAACGCATTTATAAATTGAAAATACAAAGAACAAGGAAATGAATTAATAATATCAACATGATAATTATCTGAAATTAATCTCTGGGTCCACAAGCCTAGGTTAAAATGCTACAACATTATTTGCAGAAACTAGAGAGTGAGCAAGTTGGGTTTAACATTGTTTAACGCCGCTTTTAACAGTATTCCAGTTACCGGTATATCACAGCATGTCAGCTTGATGTGGGGGGGAAAGCCTGCAGGGAAGTGGGTCATAGATGTTTACCACTTTGGTGAAAATAAAAAAAGACAGGAGCCACTGCTTTTCTTTGGAGCAGTTTTGCTTCTCTTTCTTACCTCTGCACTTCTCATAGGCCTTGCAAAATGTGTATGTATGCTGCAGATATGCCAACATTAATTTTTAACTATTTAAGCTCCTGTTATTGGACCCACAAAACTATAAGCATGAAATCTTTTCTTCAGTATGTAGGACTAGTTCGGTAAAAAATATTACAAAAAAAAGAAAGAGTACAACATTAGGATCATTTTTGAAATTACAAGAATGATTTGTCTGTAACTTCTGTAGTTTTACATGTAACTGTCAAAACTCATGGAATGATCCAAACTTTCCTTGTTGACAAATACGGAAAAACATTCACTTTACATAACAACATGTGCAATGTATTTCAGCTTCGTTATTTCTGATAAGGAAGTCTATATATGTGTGTGTGTAAGCCACTTGTTGACAACATCGTCCTTGACTTCATACAAAACATGCAATGGGTGGCATTAAGCCTATCACATAAATTGTTAATCACACGTGAGGGAAAACAATCAAACTGACAGCAGAGCGACACGTGTATCTCAGTATCTGCCATGTTTAAAACAATGTCTCACATAAATGAAGTAGCAGGCATCGTGCTTAGCTTCAAAGACATTGAATTTTCTACAAAGAATCTATTGTAATCAAATAACATGTTGTCGACACGTGTAGCTACCCTATGCAAAACAATGTACACAATGCAGGGCTGGAGGATATTTAGTCACACGGAAGCAAATAATGTAACGTCTTATTGTGTCTGAGATACTTACTTCATGATGTTGAGTACATTCCGACATGTAGCAGCAGGGCCTACCCTGCGTATTTGCCAAGTTTCATCTTCCTTTGGGTCCATTTGGGGGGTCTGTGGCCGAAATATTGACCATGACCCGAGGACTTTGAAATTGCCGCGAAAATGGCGGCCACGAAATTCCGAACAAATGTGACGCTTTTGACAGCTCGTTTTTTGCCGTCCTTGTACGGGTTCACGGAAAACACCGGACAATGACGAACATTTACGAATGTATAGGGAGCGGTTATTAAATTATCGACGTTGAGGCAAATGTTTCATCAAAACTGTATATTTCATGTATTACGGAACAGTATAATTGTATTAAATATGTAGTCTTTATGTATCTTGTTATAAAATGATATTAATGTAGATACAATGTCAGATGCGGATAATGAAAAATAGTATTTACTGAACACTCACTTTACGATAAGGAAATGAATGGCGACCAAAACAGAAACACAGATGTCATTTGACAGTGTCAATAGCGAACGTTCCACGATTAATATGCCAGGTCAACTTCCAATGTATAACGGAAACAACAGAATAGATCACAACAAATGTCGGTACCCCCACTGCATTGTGTGGACACCGATACCTTGTATAACGTAAGTGGAGTGAACAATGACAAACAAAGATCGTCATATTTAGACATCTTACCAACTAAATATAGCATAACAATCAACAATGACTACCCAGATTCGTATTCATTCTTACAAAGTACAAAAAAATTGAATTCGTCCTATATAGTCCTTGTCGAACACAGGAACTCGATGATAGCGTGTCTAGCGTAATGTTCATACAGAAAAAAAAATGTGTTATCATCATAAGGATTAGTGGACAAAATCAGAACTGTCAGTATATGCAACATGCATTAACCATCTTGATAACTTTAATGATTCAACATACATGCTTTCTATATTGTCCCGAAGGATTTGTAATATAGATGTTTTGAGTCCATTCTCAATCTGACAAATGTTATATGGGATATAGAGAATCTCACCCGAGTGTCTTTTGATATCAAATATATCAACGAGTGTTGATATATTTGATATCAAAAGACACGAGGGTGAGATTTTATTTATCATCCAACATCATTCTTTCAACTTTTTCAATTTGTAGACAGTAATTAGCAGTGTCTTCAGTGTAAAAAGTACTGCAAACAGCTTCAGTAGCAGAGCCATTAGTGATGTCATTTGATTGTGACGTCATGGTAACCAGTGACGTCACAATGGTCTGCAAAGCATTGTGATGTAATTTCATTGCAGCGATATCTACAGTGTAGATATCGCTTGATCTCATCCAAGCGATATCTCCTGTGGGAGCCAGTTTTGGATGATAAAACACTTTCTCAGTAAAGTACAGATTCTGCTCATATTTGGGGGTTGAGTCCCATCCAGGATTCGAACCCTAACTACCAGAGTGAGGCACCTAATCGTCAGCAAACAAAGTCAGCGATCTAAGCCAATCAGCCACCGAGGCTTCTTCACTTGTCAAAGTACTTGTGTGTTGGCGATTATGTGCCTCAATCTGGCAGTGTAGGTTCAGATCTGGTTAGAATAGGTCTTCAGCAACCCATGCTTGCCTTAAAAGGCGACTATGCTTGTCATAACAGGTGACTAATGGGATTGGGTGGTCAGGCTCGGCGACTTTGTTGATGCATGTCATCGTATGTCAATTGTGTGGATCGATGCTCATGATGTCATTCACTGGATCGTCTGTTCCAGACTTGATTATTTACAGACCACAATCATTTAGCGGAAATATTGCTAAGTGCGGTGTTAAACAACAAACAAACAAACAGTGTGGGTTTGAAACCCTGATGTGACTTAACTACAATCTGTTCTTTACTAAGAAAGTGTTATCCAAAATATAACATTTGTTACATTTGACCACTTTCTAAATGGCATTGTGTTTTCATTTTTAATGTGTATTTGAAAAGTTATCCTAGTACGTACATTTCTGTCATTTCCTTATTTCCATTCAATGCTTTTCAATAAAGTATATTCCAAACATTAGAACCAGTAGTGTACCAGTGGCGCATAAAATGTTTCCAATGATAGGCATAAAGATTGACATATATTCCACTTTGTTTGAGAAGGTTGAGCTTTTTTGCCTTATAAACATGATAATAATACAATAATGAAAACTAGATGTGAAACTAATGACATGGTCTATGGGTATCTTAAAAGGAACCATTCCCACATTTGTTTTCAAAGTATGTGCGAGGCCCCTATGCAGTAGGGAATTGGACCAGAGTACTGTACTATACAGTTTGTTTCCTTCTTCTTCAGGTGGCTTTTCCCGTTCATCGGACACATGGGAATTGCAACGACCTCCGGTGTCATTCGAGACTTTGCAGGACCATATTTTGTTTCAGTATGTAATTGGAAACACTCAATTTTGATATACGTAAAGATACAAAATGCAACACTCTTGTTGACAAGGATGATAGATCAAAAGATTAATCTAGCCAGCCCCAGTCGTCTAAGTGCTGCAAATCGTTGTGCAGAGTTGTGTGTCCCCTAGTTGTTTTCCTATAGCGATCTTAATACTAAGGTGATTGTAACCTTAACATAGACTTATGACCGTTGTAGAGCTAAGGTTTTTTTACAACAGTATCCAGGGTGTTGTTGTTGTATCCCAATTGCGTGGATCGATGCTCATGATGTCATTCACTGGATTGTCTGGTCCAGACTCAATTATTTACACACTGCCGTCATATAGCTGGAATATTGCTGAGTACAGTGTTAAAGAACAAACAAACAAACAGAGCATAGTGACCTTTAGTTGCGTCAGTTTTACTTCCTGGCTCGAATCAACAGCAAGAACACTGGTGAGACTTCATCATGACGGTATAACCCTGGAGATTTGTCTCTCTGAGATAGTGTCTCATGTAAGTTATTCCTGACACTGCTGCTAATTTTGATTGAAGCTTTGTCATATTTGTCATTATATCAAATTGGAGATCTTCAGTCATTCAATTTCTGGGAATGTTTGATAAAACAGTATTGTTAAAATATGTGACAATCCAACCAGAATTTGTTTTTGCAGGAAGATGAGATGGCGTTTGGTAACCCAACAAGGTATGGAGACACACCAACTTTAAATATTTCGGGTTGAGCTGTTTTGCACAGCCTAAACAATCAGCACAGGGTCAACTGTGTTGGTTTCTTGTACAAGACTGCACTCAGCAATCTTCCAGCTATGTGACATCCTCCCGAGACAAAGGGAGCTAACTGACTGTAAAAGTTCAGTTTCCACCCTTGGCGAACTAGGCAGGAATTTCTGGGATCTATCGTATCGCCACCAGTGGCTTTTAGGAGTTATGTCCCTTCTTTGTCCCTCCTATTGACCAATCAGATTCCACCTCTAATATCACTTGCATTTGATTCAAACAAAATGGCAGTGCCCAGTGAAGACAATCTGATTGATAATCAAGATCAATAGTGTTTAAAAACAGGTCTTACTTTGCGAAGTGTATCAAATCATTTAAGCACCTTGATTATAAGCGTGACAAGATTTGGAAAATATCTGTGGGTGCTAAATTAGTGGCACACATGCTTTGCAAATCCTGCAATCAACCAAAGTCTGCAAGCCAGTTTAGGAACCGGATGTTGATTTCATGTGTGATTTTGATTGGACTATGCACATATAAGCCAAAATTCCAGCCTAGTTTGGCAAGGGTGCAAACTGAACTTCTATTGTCAGTTAACTCCCTTGCCTTTGGAAGATGGCTTTGTGACAGTAATATCATTAAAATCAGATCTTAGTTCTCGCTACCGCTAAACAAAGATCTGAGGACATCCCATTACGGGTCACGTCAGACCGGCCTTGTGCGAACTTTGACCGACCAATGGAATGACCAATCAGAAGGCAGCTTTCTCGTGCTTTACAGCACTAATTTCAAATTGGCGACTGCGCTTTGAAACATATTTCGACAAATTCTCGATTACAAATTTGAAACCTGAACAAAAGAACATTCTGGAATGGCTAATAGATGGTCTAGATTGTAAGGATTCAGTCAATAAACCTGAAGTATCGTTCGGAGTTAAAGTTTAAAAGGCTGCATGATTAGAAATCACATTCAGACTGTCACTTTCATAATCTGGTAAGCGATGCTCTGATTGGTCGGATGAAAGGTTGTTCTGCCGTGACCCCTTATGGGATGTCCTCAGATCTTTGTTTAGCGGTAGTGAGAACTGAGGTCTGATTTTAATGATATTGTTGTGACAGAGGCCTGTCAATTATCAAGCCAGACAATCCAGTGGCTTATGTGTGATGTAAGGGAGATAACTCTCATTCCTGAAAGTGATTATATGTTTACACGCAGAGATAGAAATTAACACTAGCCTGCTATCCCGTGGCTATTACAAATTCCTGTGGGCTATAACAAGTTTCCAAATTTCCCCATTGTTGGAACCTTACCAGGGCATTGTATCTTTACCCGGGCTAGTAAAGCTTTTCAGTTTAGTTCTAACCCTGACACGTGAATCAGATCGATGTTATTGTCAGTTGTACGTATAGTTGTACGTACATTTTTATTATGTGTTAAAGTGATGTGTCAGTTACGGTAACGGAAGCTCACAAATAACATCATCAAATTGAAGTACTGGTAGTGAGTTCTGTTGTCTCTCAATGTTTTTGTTTACGGGAATGACCTTGAACTCTATATTAGGTTTTAGAGTAGAATTAAGATGAAGTCATCATTCATTACAGGTTCTGGCAGCTGGACCTGGAAAAGGTTCGAGGCGGCAAGGAGTCCTGGGATAAGGCTGTTGCTGACGCATCTGAAGAGTATAAACACAGAATGGTGAGATGTGGTCTCATGTTGCCTGCCTTCACCATTGAGCAGCCTTGTGGTGGCAATGATTGTCATGATTGACTTCTGTCATGAGGGCCAGTAGACTAGCCTTGTGGTGGCAACAATTGTCATGATTGACTTCTGTCAAGGCCTAGGCCAGTAGAGTAGCCTTCTGGTGGCAACGATTGTCATGATTGACTTCTGTCATGGCCTGGGTCAGTAGAGTAGCCTTATGGTGGCAACAATTGTCATGATTGACTTCTGTCACGACCTGGGTCAGTAGAGTAGCCTTGCCATGGCAACAGTTGTCATGATTGACTTCTGTCATGGAGCACCCTTGTGGTGGCAACGATTGTCATGATTGACTTCTGTCATGGCCTAGGCCAGTAGAGTAGCCTTCATGTGGTAACAGTTGTCATGATTGACTTCTGTCTTGACGGGCAGTAGAGTAGCCTAGTGGTGGCAACGATTGTCATGATTGACTTTTGTCATGGCGTAGGCCAGTAGAGTAGCCTAGTGGTGGCAACGATTGTCATGATTGACTTCTGTCTTGAGGGGCAGTAGAGTAGCCTAGTGGTGGCAACGATTGTCATGATTGACTTTTGTCATGGCGTAGGCCAGTAGAGTAGCCTAGTGGTGGCAACGATTGTCATGATTGACTTCTGTCATGGCCTGGGCCAGTGGAGTAGCCTAGTGGTGGCAACGATTGTCATGATTGACTTCTGTCATGGCGTAGGCCAGTAGAGTAGCCTAGTGGTGGCAACGATTGTCATGATTGACTTCTGTCATCAGCCTTGTGGTAGCAGCGATTGTCATGATTGACTTTTGCCATGGCCTAGGCCACTAGAGCACCCTTATGGTGGCAATGATTGTCATGATTGACTTCTGTCATGACGGCCAGTAGAGTAGCCTTGTGGCAACGATTGTCATGATTGACTTCTGTTACGGCCTAGGTCAGCAGAGTAGCTTACTTGGGTAAATGTTACCACTGACTTCTCTTATGGCCTGGATCAGTATAGTAGCCTTGTGTTGGAAAGGTTTTAATGGGTGATTTGTAGGCTTACATTTTGGGGGTACATATAACTACATGTGACCACACGTGAGTCTAATGTGAGTTACTCTTAGCACCTCTACTTTCAGCATAACCTGTGTTGTGACAACTGCCACTCTCATGTTGCCATGGCGTTAGATCTGATGAATTATGGCAACAGTCACTCTTGGAACATGATCAAGCTGTGTTTCCTCATGTTGTGTCGGGGGAAGTTTGTCAGGTATGTCTGTCATCAGCACTGTTGTTTAATGTTGTTTATGTCAGGTAATGCTCTAAACAATTTGTCGTTTTATTCATTCCCTTGTAGCATTTTGGCTCAGTATGAATTTCTTTATGTTTCCTCTTACAATGAACCTGTGGATTTTCTGGAAGAAGCGATAAATCTAGGATTCCCTAAATAATTATCATCATCGTCGTCGTCGTCATCGTCGTCATCACAACAACAACCACAACAACAATAATGATAAAATGTGCATATTATATTTACAATGCACCCTAAGTTGTTGCTCATAATATTGATCACCGGTTTATCTGGCCCAGACTTGTCTATTAAATTGCAGTCATCCTATTATTGAAGATTGCTGACTGTGGCTTAAAACAACAAACAAGAACAAAACAAAGACGTCCTAATTTCACCTGATGAATGCTGATTTCAGCAGTTCATTATAATACTTATAAGATCAACCACAGATTTCCCTGATCCAAACTCGATTATTTACAGCCTGACATTATACAGCTGGAAAATTGCTGTCTACAGCATAAAATAACAATCAAAGAAGCGATGGTTTTACCTGATGCTAATGAGTACATAACATATAATATCAACCACAGGTTTGTCTGGTCCAAACTCGATTATTTACAGACATATTTGATATAGCTGGAAAATTGCTGACTACAGCATAAAATAACACACACATCAAGCCCTGGTTTCACTTATTTTAGGAGTATGTCCAGAACCTGAGGGAGAGCGGTGTTCACGGAGCTCTCATGGTGCTGGAGCCGTCGTTTACTGCAGACACCCTCGCGACGGCCCTAGGTTTATTTACAGACAGCTGACTTTACAACAAAATAAAATATCTTTAATGTACACTGACACCTGACTTTGATTTCAGTATCGGAGGCTTCCTGAAGACGTGGCTGCCGTTCTTGTTGATTGCTGCAGTTGTTCTCATCGCTGTGCTGGCCACGCAGATCCCCAACTCTGAGATGTGATCCCCCCCAAACTTTGAAATCCCCAAATCTAACGTGATCATCATACCCAGAACGACATGGAGAATGCACAGGTGATGCCTGGACATTGTTTGCAGGGGTACAATTATCTGTTTGTGTCACAAGCACAAATACAGCTATTTTAGAAAGGAACGCCTGCAGTTTGTGATTTGGTATTGATGTTAATTTAAATTAAATGTGTAATTCTGTGGAAAATATGTGACCAAGTGATTTTGAACTTGGTTTAGAATAGTAGTCTCGCTTAAAACACTTGAAATACTGAACCATCTCGCTCACTCACCTACAAAATTTACAATTTTATGAGGTGTCTGGGCCTCCAGAAATCAGGAGCTTTGTATCAATGAACAATCATGTATCCTGGACAAGTTAATTAAGTTCTATGCAAAGAAGCTTCTTGTGCTTAGTTGGTGATCAACAAGAGCCTTGTTTCATGGTGGAGCATTCAAACCAGAATGTGGTTCACTGTCTGGGGACATGTCCTGGATGTCTGATGTCCATGTCTGCTTGGCACACACACACACACACACACGGACACACACACGGACACAGACACACACACACACGGACACACACACGGACACAGACACAGACACACACACACATGGACACACACACACACGGACACACACAGACACGAGAGCATGCACACGCAGACACAGTCACAGACACCAGCACATGCACACACATACACACACACACCATCATATCAAATGGTTGGTCTCTTAATAGATATTGGTCCATTTCTGATTTGTTACTGTGTGTCCTGTCCATCAGCATGCGGATATGACTTCATGCTTGTTAAGTCTGAAGACAGGTTTGTTGTTGTATATTGTTGTATATCGTTGTATATCGTTGTATATCGTTCAATCACACCATTGTACAATTTCATGTGACTCCAGAATTTGTTTGTCCAAGCAGACTGTAGCCTGTGTTCATTTGAGCTGACATAAGTACAGTTAAACAGTTCTTGGACCATTGACATCTTCCTTTATCTGGGGTATTAAACTGGTAAATACCCTTGAGCAGAGACCATATAATAGAGGGACGGCCCTCCCCAACAGTTTATCACTAACCATCAGTGCTACGGTCTGGCATGTAACTGATACACCCCGACCCCCGCTGTTAACTTTCCCGGAACCGCTGCAAGTGCGCAACAGATGCGCAGATATTCACGACTGACCAGTCTGGTAACCACGTAAACAATATTACATAATATCCGGGGCTAGAGTTAATTCCCTTAGTCGAGATTTCTCCAACTGCGACCAGCGACAATCCAATAAAACGACGACCCTAACCAGATTACAATAATCTTTATCTTATCTCTCATTAGCACATGTCAATTGGCTGCAAATTACTGCTAAACATGTGTGTCTTCCGGGAAATGCATGTCTTTATAAGCCCGATACATTTATTTCGATTAACATTCGGCATAGCCATGGACGACTTCATTCACTGGGACGATTCCGACTTGGACCTCGATATTTTACTTGGAGAATTCACAGACTACGACCAGGGGTTGGTTTCGGATGATTCTTGGTCTGAAGAGAATGACAGTGATGTTACCGGTACCAAACCGTTGGTAAAATCTCCCAAAAGGTTTCAATCAAAGAAAACAATTGGAAAAGAAAATACGACGGCTGTCTACGAGTGTCCCGAGTGTTCCAAATCCTACAAAACAATTGTAGGTTTCCGGGGGCACGTGAAGAAGAAGCACAACCGATCCGATATCAAAGGTATTATAATTTAGATCTATTTTATTTCCAAAAATCAGTATATTTATGTTCTTTATGTTACAATTGTATAACTATTATCAAAAATCAAAGTTACAAAATCATCTACGGATGTCACTGATAAATACGATCCGGTAAATTACGCAGGTGTAAATAAACAAAAACAGTCGCCAGCAAGACAGTTTTATCAGGTCACAATATTCTCGATGTTACGAAACAATAACATTCAAAATGTATCTAAAATTTTGTTCAAATTATTTAATAAATATACAGACCAGACTGTTTGGCAAATAAACCTATTCTCGGGAATAGGGCTCGCGTAATTGCTATTAAAATTACTATCAGCCAGTAAAATGACGCTATTAATTCCCAGTATATTTTTTATGTCTTGTAAAGTTGTTCATCCATGAATTCCTATCCTCCAACTTCTAAATTCCCATGAAAGAAGTCTTGTAAATAGCTAATAGCAGAGACCATATATTAATCTGTTATATGGTCTCTGCTAATAGGCAATATTTCCAAAGAAATTATAATTTCACATATCTCCGAGCGTTGTTGAGCGAATTTTCGATGTGACCGATAATGCGCTTCGCTGTTTATCCAATATTATTAGATAATGCAAGTTTGGGGCTAGCAGTGATAATGCTGTTGGCCGTAACGCGACAGTTTTTCAAAGGGAGGTTACTCTTAAATTTTAAAGTCTAGACGATTGTAATTTCATGATGGTTATTTTATACTACCCGATCGGAAAAGTTCCAAGTTCAGCATCCAAATAATTCGGTCTGGCGTGTGAAACAGTGCAGCAGCAACAAGCTTAGTACGAGATATAAATATCGCATCCAGGAGTAACGGTTGTAATATTCTAAACTGTGCTAATTAAGTTTTCTGTTTACTTCTGATCAATCAAATACCAAGTTAAAATTCAACTTGGCACGAGACATGCAACTACTATTATTAAAACAAAACAAAATACCATAAGTTCTGATATGAATATATATTTATTATAAAAATTGACAATAGATGTTTAAATGATATTTTATTTTTAATACACAATTAATTTGGATTTAGCCACAACTAAAACATATACATCAAAGTATGAAAGACAAAATTGTAATTCCAGTATAACAAAACTACAGAATAAAATAATTTTTGAAATTAATTAAAACTTGATCTTGGTAACTTGGTGCAACACAAAATAGTTTTCAGTTGTTGCTTCAGGATTTGAAATGCAAATTAAAAAACAAAAGTAAAAATAACTTCACTAGATCTAAATATTTTAATATACAATAATAAATAAGTGATTTTTTACATGGGATTTTGCCTATCCCCTAGGTAATTTCTACACATTTAAAAAGAGTATATGATTTCATTTGGTAAATATCTTAATGATTTCAGCCCATGAGCATAGGCAAGCAAGCGCTACGACAGGCAAGCCACCCATCTCCAAATCGGATGAAAAACACACTACTATGTCTATGCCACTTGCAAATGTAACTGAAATGAAGGACGCATTAAAGAATGGAGTACCAAAGGCACTGAAATTGATCATTTGCGACCCAATGATGGATGCATTGCAGTCAGGTTCAACGATTGGTCAAGATCTGATCCAAGTTGCCAAGTCCCTTGATGAAGATGCAGATACCACTGATGATTTAATTGACATTGTGACACCAAAGTACCATAAAGTATTCAAGGGGTTCGGCCACGGGAGCTCGCTGTCAAGTGACCGAGAGGCACTCTGGAGCAGTTATCACCAGTTGTGTCTGGAGGAAGATTTCATTACAAGCATGTGCACCTGTATAGAGGAAGTCAGCAGCCAACCAATCAGGATAATACACATCTTCACTCAGTGTTTGCTAGATCGGATTATTCAAACCCTCCTTCAAGTTCTATCAGATTCCATGAAGACAGCTGATGAGAAGCAAGCCAACCATATTAGTGAAAATGACCAGGCAGTTTTATATTACATCTCAGGGTACATTGTCCATGCTTTGCTAAAAAAGAAGACAATCAGCGGCAACAACATCGAGACTGTCATTGACAATCTTCGCACATCAGCAGAGTCAAAAGAAAGCTACATCAGCAGATTTTCAAAATGGACTGCAAAAATCAACAGGGGTGGCCTTACTCTTCCTAGTGACAATTGCTTTTTTCTTGTGCGGTCAATTGAAATTGCTGTCCGAAGTCAAGTAAATCTCTCCCACCTTAATTTGTACTCCCTTCTCTGTGACAAATTGAAGGAAGTTATTCTAACCAACCATATGGTACTCTTTTACTGGGACAAGTTAGTTGTTTGTGAAGAAGAATTGAAACTAAAATTGTTAGAATTTCTAATCACTTTGTTCCTAAATGTGCGTGGCGGGGCTGTTGCCAAGTTCCTGAAGCGTCAACAGCAAAAAGAGAAAAAGATAGAGAGAAAAACTAACGAGGGCAAAAAGAGCCAGTCATTGAGAAAAGCCTTGAAACCCAGAGACAATTTCCATTAACCATCAACTTGAGAATGTTTACACTTCTAATGAACAGTGACAGTCATCTAGTCATAAGAGGCGACTAATGGGATCAGGTGCTCATGATCACTTGATTAACAGACCACGATCATTTAGCTGGAATATTGCTCAGTCGCGTTAAAAAACAAACATAACATGTTACAAGAATCTATCATTGAAGATGGGTCATGGCAGTCAATCAAAATCAGTATGTTCAACAAGATAATAAATTGTCATCATATCATTCATTCAACCTCCCCAGTCTACTGTTGTGTTTGTCTTGTGTTAATAGTCTTAAACATGTTTAAGTTACAATATTCTTACAATACATGTGAGTGGTACACTCGATACAAAAACATGTGCATTGAAAAGTTTTGTGGGCACTGAAATCAATCTGAACAAGTTCAGGGATATTAATTACACGTTTCTCTACTTTTCTATTATCTAAACTCATTAACAAGTTTTTCTACTACTCCCCAATGAGTACACTATACACGCCTCTGTTTACGCCTAGGGAGAGCCGCATTATCAACAGTCAAGGTTTGTTGTGGCCTCTTGTTCGAAATGTTGCCACGTATAGGTTGGAGCGCAGAGGAAGCGAGGACCTTCATCTGTGAAAAGGCATGTTTAACAGCATAAACTGAGGGATTGTCATTTGAGCCTCCTTTGTGTCGATACTGTCCAAATTGTTCTTCTAGAGGGTCTTGGTTGAATCGGTGGGTGAATACAAATTCTGCACCGGCTGTGAGCATGAATCGCACACATTCTACAATGGAATTCACAGATATTTTTAGTCCTTTGAGAGTTTGATGACTGAGCATCATACGCTTCCTTTGTGATAAGGTAAACTGCCCATGTCGTCTCATGACACTATCCTCCCAGGCTTTGAAAAAATCCAAGAATTCATTGAGAAGATAATGCAGTCTTGGATCATTAATGCTGCGATACTCCTTCTTGTCACTGTTCCGGGCTATGATTCCTTCTTGCAAACTCCGCGTGTTAAGACAATCAAAAAAACGGTTCATGTGTCTGATAAGATTCACAGTTTCTTGGACTGGGTCCCCATATAAGTCCTCAAGAGCGTTTCCCACTGAACTACTAAATATTTGTGCAGCCAAGTTAACTTTCATTGTTGAATATGGTGACAAGTCAATGTGATCTCTTGTAAGCTTGTAGGTTTTACAAAACAATTCATTTTCCACATGTTCTTCATAAAACTTCAACATATGAAGCCAACTAACATCACGGCCATCTTTCCACAGCTCTCTGGTCTTCTTGTGAGATCCGGAATTAGCAAAACAGTTTCTTGTGGTTTTAATAAGATGAGGAACATCAGATATAAAGTAAATCTTCCTGTGTGGATGACTGTATCGATTCCATGTCCAGAAAAAATTATTCAATTCGGGCACTTCATGTAGGCTGAAAAACTTGCGATTTGATGAAGCTCCATCACATGTAATAAACAGCGGCTTCAGTCCAATGCTTTCTAAATTTAGAACAGCTGTCCAAAGTATGGGATATAAATAATCTGCTGTTATACCCCTCGTGGCAAAGGCTGCATATGGATACTTCAAATCTGTAATGATACCACGGATCATGAGGACCAACATGGTATTAGCCAGTTGTGGTTTGCTGCCAGTTATTGACTCCTCTAAACAGAGCAAATCGTTACCAGTCCTGTCTAAATCCACATATCCAACAAGTTCACCCGAGTGTTTGTCATATACGAGGCCTTCAGAAACCTTAACTTCATCTTGAAGTATGCCAACGTATGATCTTTCTTCAATGTCAAGCATTCCAAGTGACTTCGCTTCTTCCTTTAAATGTTTTGAATAGCTGGGATGAAAGCCAAGTGAACTTGGAAGGGCATGTGAATAATCATACAATGTCCTCTTGCTCAGCAAAGCGATGAATCCAGATTTTCCAGCAACTTCATAGGCCTTCCGACTCCTACTACGCATGTAAAGACACCATTTAATTACCATCGGATGCCATCGCATTGCTCGCTTGTCTTTAATTTTATTGTATTTCATTTGTTGCTCCCAAAAAAGTCTCTGAATAGATGTCTCATCAGGGTAATCGTGCATTACTTCATCTTGGTGGTCTTTCAATAATTGCGAAAAATCAGAGTCGCTTGAAACACTTAGCGTAAGACCTTTCTGTGAAATTGTCTGGCTTATTGTTCTCTTCAAACGCTCCATTTCAGACTGAATGGAATTGCGGCTGATTTTCATCAGTTCATACTTCTGGATGACTTCCATCTTTGACATGTTCTTGTGGGTAGTATGAGTAAATGAAGTTAGTTTAGGGGTTTTCGGGGACAGACTCTCTCTTCTGGCATTAGCTCGGAGTGTGGCTCTGTATCTGCTGCAAGGACCACATCTGTCTCTCCGTGAAATCAAAAACTGACACATCAACGAACGGATTGTGGAACTATACGCTATTCCATCTATGTTGGCACCAAAGTCTCCTTCTCTGTATGCAGATATAGTTGAAGTAGCTCCTTCACTAATGCCTGCACCAACTGGAATCAAGTGAGCAAACCTGTCCTCGTAATTCCCAAAACAAACGTGGTATGTTGACAGTTTAGACAAAAGTTGCGAAACGTCTCTTACAGTTGTGAAGTATTTTGGCAAACCAATCCACAATTCATGATCATGACCAATATCACGTCGATGAGCATAAACTGTGGCTTCAAAAGAAGGCCTAATGACCACTGAGAGTTGAACCGCTGCAACATCACTATCATAACACTGCACCAAGTTCACTTCCTCTCGCTTGTTTCTCAAAATGGTGAATTCGCCAAGCTCATCAGCATGCCTGAATAGTTCCTTTTTCAATGATAAGAACAGTTGGTACTTTCGGTACTGCAGGATGCCATCAACAAAAGTATCTAAGTCATTATCAGGATGATACTTGTGTACACTGTCAAGAATGACAAAGAATTCATTGGCCGAGCAACCATCAGAATCCATCGCTTCTCCCAGGTAGGGTATGTCAATGGGGTCATCACAGATGTCAATGAAGAAGGAATTCCATGCTTCATCCCAGAGCACATCTCTTGAACTGAAAAAGGAAATACACATTATTATTACTTCGAAAAAAACAGCATGGAGGATGCCAAAATCATTTAATTAGTCCACCTGCTTAAACTCACAATGGAATTATACTGAATAGTATCGCATAAAACATTCTTTAGATAAGAAAAGTTACAATTTTAATACTTGTTGATAATTCATGTGCTTTGATATTTATCAATTATTTATTTTAGGTACTTTGATATATAAAAAACTGTACTGATACATAACCAACATACCATTACTTCAGACATATCATTAATCGTGATACTCAGTGATACCCCTACTTTGGTGTGCAACATTAGTTGAAAGAACTGTATGACTTACTTGTAATCATCAAGCACTGTTGATTGAACTGATGAATAGGTATGGTCAGAGAGAGAGCCTTGTTCTTGTCTCGGACCTCTCTTGGTGTACCCTTTCCGACGACGGCCAATACAAGTCTTCTTTTTTCTTGGCATCTACAAAACAAAACTATATATTAGACACAATGTAAACAAATTAAACTATATATATATATATAGAGAGAGAGAGAGAGAGTATGGTTTTACGCCGCTTTTAGCAATCAGTTAGGGTGGCCTCTTCCCCGTGCGGCAATTCAATTCCCATAACTCTGTGTAGAAATTCAGTTTGGCCTGTTTTTACATTTTTCCCCCCTTTTTCGTATCAAAAGAGTATTAATTTGCATGAAGAAAGACACAAATAGTAACATACATTCATAATGTTTGTATTAGTGTACTTTTGAAAAAAAAATTAACAGTAATCTTGACTTTGAAAGGGAAAATGTTAAAAAAAATGATGCAAAACAGTAGGGTATTTTCAATTGGCAACTGCAAACTTCATGTGATGAATTTTGTAATAAAACTTATATCATTAGAATCACAAATGCACAAGGAATACTATAACGCACCGTAACGCGATGTTTTTCCCCAACTTCCATGCGTAACGCGGTGGCGAAAAAATATCAAAAGCAGGAGAAATGTGTTGGAATTGGTGGGCAAGCCGTTCGCGTGCGTTCAAGGGAGATAACCGAGTGCAGCTTATTTACCATCAGCTGCCAAGAAGAAGAAGCGCCAATAAAATATACACCTATAAGTACATCGTCATTATTAAGCGTAATACAATGTTGCCTTCAACCAAAAAGACATTGGAGAGAGAATAAGGAAATTCTCAAGAGCTTTGACTGTCTTAGGTATCCAAGAAAAGACTTTTCGTCACATTTTGAGAGCTCCTTAACCGGATGTGCAGACCACTTGAGAGTTCTTCGACCGGATCAGCTGACTACATGTGCCTAATGTCAGGTCTCATCGTATTGTCAACGCAAGTTACACCATGTGAATTAATTATGGTAATTCCTACAAATACAATCGTGATCTTTGCTGTAACACACAGGAAATGTTATGTAATGAGAATGTCGGGCAGGTGTTCTGTTTATGTAATAAACTTGTCAGTGTCACCAAGTTGTTTATACAGTGATTTATGGCACCTCATTAAAAAATCAAAGCCAGCATTTCCTCGAACCCACGAATTTTGCACAAGAATTTTTAGTTGTTTATACAGGGAATTATGGCATTTTCTTGAATCCATGAATTATGTATGACAATTTTGATAACATGAGAATCGCAAATGCTTACGGAACACTGTAACGCAGTGGCGAAAAAAAAGGAGAAATGTGTTGGAATTGAGACAGCAAATTTCAATATATTAAAACAAGATAACGCGGTTGGTTTCCGTGGATATCGCCTGACAAACATGTATGTGGGATTTTATTATATATAAATCTGCCGCCAAACAATTGAATCGAAAATTACATTCCCCAAGAAAATACATTTTCAGAAAAGATCGAAAGCAGGAGAAATATGTTGGAAATTGGGGGAACATGTGGTATTTTATTAGCGATTTTAATTGTGAACTGGTGAAAGCATATATATGTGTGTGTGATGTCGATACTCACCTCAATGTTCCCTTCCGCTACTTTATTATGTGGCGAAACGGTACGGAATAATTCGAGCATGCGAAAGACGTTCGTGGGATGTTAGTCATGTCAGTCGGCATTTGTCACCTTGAGTTATCGGCACGGACACGTTGTTTAATGCCAGAATATATACATGAGAAATCTTTGTCACATGTGGTATCCAAGCACGATATGTCCACGAAGTTCAATATTTTTAACACCCGCGCGATTTCCATCTGAAAAACGGTACCCATTGTTGTAATCTGACCAACCATGATCCGGCAAAAGGATGACGGACAAAAAGCTAATTTCCGGCGCAGTGGTGACGTGGCATTACACCTAATTTGCATATCATGTGACACAACATTTCGTAAACAAATTATTTACCAAAACTATTTAGACTGTATTGCTACTGGCTATAAATTATCGCCAACTCCCCGTTGTCGCACGGGATATCATTTTAATTTTGCTCGTTTTCATTGGAAGAGAGAAAGATTTATCCGAAAATGACAAAACACTTGTGAGGAAATATTTTTTTTAAAAAAAACCACAATAATCGCCAAGCCCGAATACAGCTTTATCAAAGACATGTGGGCCATCGCGACTTATTCACTCGAAAATAAAAAACAAAACACAATGACGCACTTCCGTTCTGGCATTGCTTTCTATCGGTCAGTCATTTCTTTCTCAAAATACAATTCTGAAACCTATTTGAGCTGTACGTAGCATGTGTATATATCGAAATCCATAGTACATATGATAGCATGTAGAGATCGAATGTGGGGAATATTGGTTTGCAGACGATAAATTTGTAATGTCATTTGTATAACTGAAGCGTATATGCGTGATCACGTGGCACGTGCTGTCAAGACGACGGGAAAGTTATACACGTTATAACAGAGATCAACTAAATCATTTTTCACGAACTGAAATCACGGAGTGACAGAAATGAAAAAAAAAACTGGCGGTAACCAGTAGCTCTATCATGTCTACAATGAGGTCATGGGACAACGTAAAAGTGATCTGTGTGCTGTGTATGTATTGAAATGTTCTGTAATGAGCATGTCGGGCAGGTGGTTCTGTTTATGTAATAATAAACTTATCGGAAGTTGTTATCATGGTTATACAGGGATTTATGGCATTTCCTTGAATCTACGAATTTGATAACATTAGAATCGCAAATGCTTACGGAACGCTATAACGCAGTTGTTTTTAACTATTTTCGCCACCTTCCATGCGTAACGCGGTGGCGAAAAATATTTAAAACGCAGGAGAAATGTGTTGGAATTGTGACAGCAGATTTCAATATTTTAAACCATGATAACCATGATGGTTTCCAAGGGTATCGCCTGACAAATATGTATGTGTGGTTTTATTATACATATGAATAGACAACAAGTCGTCAAAAACGGCGATTACAAGAATAAATGGCTTTCATTTTCAGAAAAGATAAAAAGTAGGAGAAATATGTTGGAAATGGGGGGACATGTGGTATTGTATTAGCGATTTTAATTGTAGCAGCATATATGTGTGTGTGATGGCGATGTTCATCTCAATGTTCCGTATCGCCAGGGCATTATGCAAATGCTTACACCATGTACACAAATGAACACGGTTGTTTTCGACTATTTTCGCCAATCTCCATGCGTAACGCGGTGGTGAAAAAAGATCAAAAGCAGGAAAAATGTGTTGGGATTTGGGGGCATGTGGAATTTTAATAGCAATCAAAATAATTGTGACAGCAGATTCAAATATTTAGAACCACGATAACGCGGTTGATTACCATGCGTAAAGCATTACCAATATGGATCTGGGGTTATATTATATATGAATCTGCCGCCACACAATTGAAATTGATAATAAAATCCCGACTGTCCTCATTGGATAAATGAAGCTTAAATATACGATTAGCAAGCATTAAATACCAACGTGTTGCGCATATGTCTATTACCCTTTCAACTGGTGGTTCTTTAAGGGAACACCAGTTGAAAAGGGTAAAAGACATATGCCTGGCGAATCATATTTGCATTACCAGTGGTGCTAAGCGCTTGCGGGCCTCTGTTATAAGGCGCCGAGACAGCGACAATTTAACGAACTTGTGGTAAAAATAGTTTCACGGAGTTTTTGCTCAGTTTAGTTACTGCATAAAACATTATGAAATCGGGTAAGTCGAAGTGAAACGGCGATTACCTTGATTACTTCCGTGGCGAAAAAAGATATAAAAAACCCAGGAGAAATGTGTTGGAATTGATGTGCATGTGGATTCAAGCAATTGAGATACGATGACATGCCAGCAGCCCATGCTTGCCGTAAAAGGTGACCATGCTTGTAAAAGGCGACCAACGGGATCGGGTGTCCAGGCTCGCTGACTTGGTTGATGCATGTCATCGATCCCAATTGCGTGGATCGATGCTCATGATATTAATCGCTGGGTTGTCTGGTCCAGACTCGATTATTTTACAGACCGCCGTCATATAGCTAGAATATTGCTGGGTGCGGCGATAAACAACGAACGAACAAACGATGACATGCATCAACAAAGTCAGCGACCCTGACTTGGTTGATGCATGTCATCAATCCCAATTGCGTGGATCGATGCTCAATATGTCAATCACAGGACTGTCTGGTCCAGACTAGATTAATTACAGACCGCCGTCATATAGCTGGAATATTGCTGAATGCGGTATTTAATATATGTTGTGTTGGAGGGAGCGTTATTTACATAAGCCAGTTTGGCCTGTTAGTGTTTACAAATCTCAGATGATTAAAATATGATTAACCTATTATTACATGTTGCGGGGTGTCTTATTTCATACAAAACCAATGTTCTTAAACACATCACCTTGGGTGAAACAGAATTATTTCCTTGTTTTAGCGTCGATTTCATAATGCTTACATGCGTATGGGATAACATAAGATTGTTATTTGATGTTGTTAATATGCTGTGGGGCATTTGATATTTACAGTCCACATGCCCACGGTGATTTTCTAATATATATTTCATATGCATACAGTACTTCTAGAAATAATGCAAATTCCTCAATCGGCATACACATCTGCCATATACAGGAAACTCTGTATATTTAATTATGTTGTTGCATTAGGTGTTTAAGAGGTCGCCTTCTGCCTAGGCAATTTCGGCTGACCTGTCCCTCTTTGGGACTCCTGTGTGTGAGAAGGGTTCACATATCTATTGTGAGTTCGGTGTTCACATAATTTCTGTTTTTGCATTGATATGATTTCTATTTTCTTATATTGATATGATTTCATTTTTATCCTTGGCTGCTCTGTTTATATACGTTCGAGCAGCTGTCCATCTCTCAGAAATAGAGTTAGTTTGGCCTTCGCTATTGCATCTCTTGGCTTTAGGAGATCTATGACAGATAGCGGATCTAACTGCAATTCTTGTTTTAACCTAGCCCGGGCCGGGGCATGGTCTTGACATTCTAGTAACAGGTGGTCAATGGTTTCAGCCTGATTGCAAGATGAACAAACCTTGTCATAGTG